TGAGCCTGAGCCTGAGCCTGAGCCTGAGCCTGAGCCTGAGCCTGAGCCTGAGCCTGAGCCTGAGCCTGAGCCTGAGCCTGAGCCTGAGCCTCATGCTGAAACGTGGCTGAATCATGTCTGTGCCGTCTGCAGGACTGCAATCTCGCTTCCAGCCGCCTTGTCACTCCTTGGTTTTTCATCTTCAGTTCCGTCCAAAATCACCTCTGCCTTTCATGCCCGATGGATGTTTTTTCTGCCGATGTTTTGATCGCTTTCAATTTAACAACTCTGCCCTAAAAGTTTTACACCGTTCCCGATCGACTCTTCCACACACAAATCGTATTTTCGTGTTAGCATTCAATATTTTTAGATTTGTAGCTTGTTGTCTGCGGCAACACACTGGATTTGTCATGCCATGGCTTCCGTTAAGTATTCTGAGTACATGTGTAGCCCTGCACAGGGTGGGATTGCGTGTTTGAGGGTGGGGGGGACTCTGGCACCCTAGTGTTATGGCATGGTTTGAAAGGACATGCCCCTGGGACCTGGACAGAAAGGGAAATGACCAGGAGGAAGACCAGGATGTGGTGGAGATGGGGGCAGATAGGGATCGGGACGTAAAAGGGAGTGACGAAGCCTTTTTTGCGCTGGGTCTCCTCTCTTCAGTGGCAGCGGGCCAGGCGGTGGCTGAGACCGTGGGTGGCGAGATGGAGGACACCTGACCAAATAATCTCCTCTACTTTCCTTTCTGACTTGTCTAACGAGTACATGCACATCTTTTAATGCAAGAATCACCATACATTCCCAATGCGAATGCTCAAAAAGTCGCGACAAATGTCGACTTTGAAAAAGGGGCGACAAATGTCAGGTCGACACCAGAATTCCAATGTCGTGGCAAACCTGGTCTGGGCAGCCCAGAGCTGACATGGGCCGGACAAATGGATTGCGGCAGGCACGCCTGAGAGGCTGCATGCAGAGACGACAATCCCGCTCAACGGGAAAGATTCTCTCCAAACCGCGAATTCTTTCTTTTAAGGGCTTGCAGATTTGTGTTTTGTTTGGTAAGAAGAGATTTCACTCTTTACATGTGTGTGGATTCGTCCCTCCTCTCCTCTCCTTCTCCTAATTTACAACGAGCAATTCAACATGGCACAAATCTTCTCATCAGATACGCTACCCAAAAAAAAACTCACGAAAATACTGTTTGTGCTCGCCAGTGCAACCTCTGTATCGAAATTTATGAGGACCAGCTGCCTCCACCTCATCCTGTCGAGAATCAAAACAAAAACCCCAATCTTCCCATGCGCCCGGATCCTGTACCACTAGAACCATATTTAATCTCAGAAAGGGAGGAATATGTGAGCATGTAGAGGAGCTTCACCGGATCCGGCGGCGGCGAGAAATTTTCAGGCGAAAGACCGTACGTTCGCTTGCACAAGTCCTGTGGTTACGTAAAATGTTGATATAACACGGGGATCAGACAGAGTACATTAAGCTTGTTGCGGTGGAGCTGATCTGGGATCGAACATTAACAGGGCTGAGACTGTAGGTAGAAAGAGCATGAAGGCCCGAAATGACGCACGGGTGTCACTTGTATAAGAGATTGGACCCGGCCTCGGGGCCCTCTTGACCCATCACTCACCTCCCAGTGGGCATCATCCGTGCTTGCTAAGTCGCGCCAAAGGCGACAAACCATTTCCGAGACGAGCAGAGACGGTGCGGGCAGAAAGCGGAGGATCTGCTTTATGGTGTCTTGCGGTAGAGTTTCCATGGTGGCACGTGGACAATGTCCGCCCGCGAGATAATCCTGCAAACGGTGTAGTCGAACGAGGTGTGAGCAGTCAGCAGCGTAACAGTTTGCTCTTTCACCCACCATCAAATTTATAGTTTTTCACACGTACCTTGTGCAAGAAATTGCCATTGCACTTGGAGGGGTGAATAACTAGTGCTCGGCATGCCACACCGTCTTGGAATCCATCCATATAATTACTCGATATCGCCTCGTACTTGTCGTCTCCCCAGTCTCTTCCCCGTGTCAGGTTGCCGTCGACGTCGTTTTCATCAGAGTTCTCGTCCTCGTCCATAGTAAACTGCAGCGCCATTAAAGGAAAACGTGGTCGACCTTTCACGATAGGAATTATTGCTAGAGATTCATCGTTACCTAGTCGTCGGGTAAATCGAGGAGCTCTGGTCATTGTATGAATTACAACGATGCATGAAACATTGCAGAGCATTTGCAAGGAGATCTCGAGAAAGTACGGAGTTCACTTTTAGTCTTTTTTCATGTGGAGCTGCCGGAGTACAAGCCTCCCATTCATACGTATTTGCTTACCAGGAAGCCTCGAAATGCCCTCATCCATGTGATTGTGAGGCATTTGTTGTCGATACAGCCGCGTCCCGGTGATCTTTGACATGGGCGGCAGTGCTAACGAGATCAAGGATGGAGGCCCAAGCCTCAAGCAAAAATTTGATCCGCTACCTTCACAGCTTGTAAATTACGCACCTGCAAATACAGAATAGTAGACGTGAGACGGATTGTGGCTTTCGACGCGCATAAAGACTGAAGTGTCTCTAAGTAAGAGTGCTCAAAATCAGCGAGACGGCAACTGTCGAGTCGATCAAGGGGGTCACATGGGATCGCGGGCACGGAAAAAGGGCCACAAAACCACTCAGAACCACAATCTTGCGGTTTTCTTCCATAAATTAACGATGTTTAGCTCAAGCTACGAGGGTCGATGACCGAAACCTCGTGTAAAGCCGCGCGTCGGGGAACGCGCATGTGCGCCCGCATGCTCCTCGCGCCGCCCTTCAAGGCGCTCTAGCTTCACCCAGACCCTTGCTTCCGGGACGTGAGAAGCCACAGCCATGCTCCCTAATAACGGTCCTTTGCGGCGTGCTTTGACCTTGGGCGCAATTCATTATGTTTCTTCCTTGCCAGGCCCGTTAAAGCATGTCTCTAAGCCAATATTTTCCTCCCACGGCTCCTAGGTCACTACTCCTGGGAGAGGAATTGAGGGCTGTAGGCAAGTGGAGTCGAAACTCCTATCGAGGGGGTTCCCCGCGGGGAATGCAACGATGCGCCTCGGTACCACGGCTTGCTAACAAAGGAAAAGCTCTTGGCGGTAGCTGCAGTTCCCACAGCTGCAGCATTGGAAATTGTAGCAGCGTTCGTCCCATCACAGGAGGTGCTGGCGGGAAGGAGCGTAAATACTTGCAGGCCAAGTCGCGCGCTGAAATTGTGACAAGCATCAATGCGAAGCCCCGCACGAGAAGAAGCTGGGCGCCACCGTCCTCCACTCTTTCACAGACATTGAAATCTGCAGAAAACAGTCAGGCAGGATGGCGATGTGCACCGACTGGTGTAAACAAGGGAGTCGCTCTCGGACAGCGCGCCCGTCCACAGCAGGTTATTCTGCGGCAGAGCCCTGCATCATCTGGCACAGTGGTCAAACATCTGAGGCAAATATTGCCTGATGACGCACCAGCGCGGGCAGCGATGTTAAAAGCCTTAGAAGGAGGACATGTGGGAACGTGTGTTCAAGTCCTGCAACAACTGAGCGCGGAGGGTGTATATTCGCTTGACAAGCCACTTGCATGCCAATTGGTGGATAAGTGCGTGGAGAGCAAGGCGTGGCCCGTTGTCATGAACAGCTTGCTTCCCTGTCCTGCCTTTCCGATGGACACGGGCATGTGCTCCTACATCCTGGAGGGCTGCTTGAGAGCCCGGCGTTGGCGCCCGGCCCTGGCCTTGGTGCGCTCGAGCATGCCGTCCAGGGGGCTGCAGCCTACGCGCGAGGCGTACGAGGGAGCTCTTATGGTTTGCGGACGCTGTCAGGAAGCGGGGGAAGTGCTGCGGCTACTAGAGGAGATGCACGCGCGGCGTCTCCTAGAGACGGGGAGTGCGAAGGATATGCGCGACCTGGCCGTGAAGGCAGCCACCGCAGGTGCTTGGGAGGCTGGCCTCATTGTATGCCAGGAATATCTGCGGACGGTTCCAGGAGGAACGGTCGGAAAAGGGGAAAGATTTTTACCTGGAATGCGGCAGAGAGGCCGTACGCCTGCGCCTGAGGTGCCGCGGTGGTCTGCTTCCGTCGTCGAATTAGAGGCAGAGATGGTAGAGGCGACGATTCTGGCCTGTCAGCGGGACTTGCGAGAGGCGCACCGGATGAATGAGCACGCCCTCCTTTCGCGCATGTGCACGCGGCTGTGGGAGCTGGTCCAAGAGATGCAAAGACGGCGGGGCCTTGAGCTTGGTCGTCGAGCATGGGACTCCCTTGTGCATGTGTGTTCCAAGGCGGGCAATACCCAGCTGATCAGTCAGATGATGGACGCCGTGGCGGTGGACGAGAGGGTTGACTCGGGGCATTGGGCGCAGCGACACGCGGCTTTGCGACGTTGTTGGGTTGACCGGGACTGGGCCCGGGCACGCGCGCTTCTGGGAAGTTTTTTGGCCTCGTGCGGGAGGGAATCCCCGCCGGAGTCAGACGAGCTGGTGACGATGGTCTTGGACTGTGGCCTTCGAGGTGACCTGGAGCAGGAGGCCCTGGCCGTGTTTAACGCCTGGTGGGACGCCGACCCCAGCTTCTCCCCGAGCTCGAGGTGCCGCGTAAAGGCCGTGCGGACAGCGTTAAAATTGGCGAGGGTCTCCTCGGCATTTCCATCATTGTCTGTCACCCCACCGCGCGATTCAAACTCTCTAGACTCTTTGCGTATGCAAGTAGGAGCGACAGAGGAGGCTCGCATCGGATCCTCAGGCCTTCAGGGCCTGGCCGACCTTCTGGATCGGTTCGAGAGGCGCGCACCGAGCCAAAGGGCCATTGTCTGCAATATGGTGATGGAGCACGCGCGGGTCCATCGACTTGTGGAAGAGGGATTTGCATTTCTCGAAGCCATGCGGGCTCTAGATATTCCCCGTCAAAGCGCAACCCTGCAGCCCTTGCTCAAGCTGTGTTCCTCTGCGAACCGGCAGCGGGATGTTGTGCGCCTGGTGGGCGAGATGGTGGAAAAGGATAAGCTGAAGCCTCAGGCACAAACATACAGCCAGGTCATAGAGGCAGCGACGCGGGCGGACATGGTCGAGGAGGCGCTGAAGCTCTTCCAAACGATGATTGCGGAGGGATTCCCAGCGGGAGACAAAGAGTGCACAGACCTTATGGCCGCTCTGGCGCGGAATGGGGACTGGAGCCGGGCTTTAGACCTGCTTCAGGACATACGAGTTTACACCAAGCGTCCGCCGGCCTGTATCGTCTATACCGCGGCGGTGAACGCGTGCGGGAACGGGGGGGCGTGGGAGATGGCCCTGATGCTGATGCGGCGGATGGAGGAGGAAGGCATTGCGCCGAACAGCTACACCTACAGCTCGGCAATTAAGGCGTGTTCGCGGGCTGGGAAGTGGGAACAGGCATCTGCGCTTTTTACTGAGATGCAGGAACGGGGACTACCGCAGAATGAGGTCACGTACACGGTGATCTTGAACGCGCACGCGAAAGCCGGCCGCCTTCAAGAGGCAGCCGCCTGTCTGGAGGGGATGAAGAAGCGGGGCCTCAGCCCGTCCACCCCGCACTACACAGCTGCGATCGATGCTTGCAGCCGCTCGGGAGAGTACCAACAAGCTCTGCGCTGGTTCGAGGAAATGAAGAATGAGAAAGTGCCCATCAACCGCATGACGTACTCGGCGACAATAGCTGTTTGCGGTAAGGGAGGGGCTTGGGAGCAAGCGGTCCGTGTGCTGTTGGATATGATGCTCACTTCAAGAGATGGGTCATCTCACGTCTGTTATATGCTTGCGGTTGACGCCTGTCGGCGCTCCGATCAGTGGCCTGTCGCAGCATATCTCTGGGATTTGATCGAGCTGGTGGACCCCAAGGAACTAAATCAACCCACTCTGAACTCTCTCATTTGCGCAATGGAACACCCGGCCCTTCACTCCCTCGTGGCGTCCTTCTACCAGCAAGCCTACGACAAGGGGCAAGTCAATCACTGGAGCGTCGCCTTCTACCGAGTCGTGGATCTGCACAATTTTTCTCGGCCGTTGGCCAAAGCGGCGCTGCACCACGTCTTAGAATGCATGCTTGAAAAGCATGGTCCAGGTGTAGCGAGGGATTTGTCGATTGTCTCCGATGGAGAAGAGATGGGGACCAAGGAAGAAAAGGGGTTCCGGAGTACGGCTCCTTTCCAATCTCTAAGTGGCGAGATCCCTTGTGACCCAGCCATCTCCACGCAGGCGGACAAGAAGTGGTCGGCGAGTGAGATGTACCTGCCTTGGCCCCGCAACAAGGCACGTCACGGCTACGTCCAAGATCCTCGCGACCCCCTCGTGATTGTCACCGGCCACGGCAGGAGGCGAGCAGCGGGGACAAGCGTGCTGCGTGATGACATTGCTGATTTTTTGACGTCAGAGTTTGACCCTCCCTTGACCACAAAAACGATGCCTTACAACCCTGGACGGCTACTCGTGCCAAGTTCGACGTTGCTTACGTATCTTTTGGCAAAAAGTGGTTCGTAGGCAGCAGATTTCAACCATAAAAACGGCATGTATATTGTACTGACATTTTTGCGCGGTACCGCCGTGCGTAAAGTAAGTTTAATGGATTTCAAACAGAGCTGTTCCAGCCTCAAGCATCTTGCTGGCTCACACTTCCCTTGCTTTTATTTTCCTATCTGGTGTGTGAAGGTGTCTTACTACATCGAAAAGGATACCCTTTATATGTTAGGCAATGAGTGAGCAAACGTATGCGAAAAAGCTTGACTTACACGCCACTTCGAGGAAAAAGCTGTGTTATGTAACGCATCGACGAGCTCGTGCAGAGGCACGTACTAGGGGCAGGGCTCTTGATTACAAGACCTCAGGGTAATCAAGGTAATTGCTCATTTACAAAATCTTTTTTATGAGGAGTGAATACGGTACAAATTTATTTGATTGGAGTTTTGGCGAGTTCCACTCGTTCTTGATTGTTTTTAATTGCGATTCCATCCAAATGAAAGCATTACCACCGAAATCCACGATGAGATGTATTTCCGAACGAAAGATTGAAGTTATGTAAATTTCAACACTTATGCCGCTGAAAAAATCTTGCCGCCACGCTCTTTCATGTCATTCGGTGTTCGACGAGGTCGGAGGCCCTCATAGGCCTATGGCGTGGAAAACATACCCGGATCCTCCTCGTTTCCACACACGTACGCCCCCCCCCCTCCTTTGCCTGCGCTCTAGTGATTTGGTGCAAGCACCTTGCAGGAGACATCCTGCTCTTCTTTCTTCATGACGTATCTGATCCCAGCGTTGTCTTGCGGCCCGTTGGGCTGGGTGGACGTGCCAACGACAGAAAGCAAAGCGCTGACGGGCAAGCGCAGGCGATCATATCTCGCGGCATTATGGCATTATTATGAGTACAGCTCAACACTTGCTCTCCCTCTCTCATTCTTTGGCCAATTCATACACATTCATCAGGCGATGCCATGGCGTCCGCGCATGGCACGTCCGGCGCGAATTTTATGCTCTTGAGCGGTGGCATGGGAGATGGCAAAGCATTTCGGGAGGCCTCTTGCCCTTGTCCTCCGTTTCAACACTCCAGTCCGACAACCAAGCTTTACCAAAACCAAGGTGGGCGTGGTGAACAAACTATGCCTGTAACACACCTAGATGTACTGCCGCCTCGCGTTCAGAAGGTGTCCATATTGTCGAACAATTTCCCCCAGTTGCAGCCGAAGGCGGGCTCCTACTGCTGCAAGTGCGGTTGTCCACGGGCTGATGTCAGGCTGACATGTTGCAATAGTGTCGTCCATGGCCGTTGTGTATACCCATGGCCCGTGACTCGCTGCCCGAGCTGTAGCATGGACGGGAAAGAGATGGCTTTTGAAGTGCTTCTGCCGGAGCCTTATACCCGCAACGGCGCAACCTTGTCGCTCTCTCCCCAGGAGTTGAGTAAAAAGCGTGGGGGGCGGTGGTCAGAAGCTGAGTGTGCATTTGCGGAGTTGGTTATGGAGGGGTTCGGTTCCGGCATGTTGCCCCTGAGGGACGGCAGTCGCCTTGGCACCTTCCTGTGTAGCTTGCTTCAATGCACTTCAGCGCGCTTGTCCTCCAAGCTACGCACGGGCAAGCGAAATTTTCGGTATTTGGTGGATGAGGGCATCTCTGCCGAAAGCATCTTCCGATACGAACAGGAACAACGCCAACTCTCGCGGCGCGAGGAGCTCTTCCTGCATTATCTCTCCCCCGAGGAGGCCGCACTGGCCTCTCGCAGTCTGCAACTGGAATGGCGCCTCCAGTTCCTGCACCTCGGCAAACAAGTGGGCGTACGGGTAAGCAATTTACACGAATGGGACGCTTTTCTGAAGATCGTGGTCCCAGCCGCCCCGAAAGCCGTGGGTGGTGCAGGTGGCCCCCAGGCCCTCTCTGGGCGGAAGCCCGAAGGGAACGCAGAGGATGACACCACGTCGCCGCCGACCTTTTCTCGGAAGAGGCGGACGATCGGTCCTACCGTTGCACAGTGCCCTGACAATCACCTTCAGCGTGTGCGTGGCGCCCGGCAGGCATCGGCCGAGCAAGATGGCGATCTACCACCGTCTTCCCTCGCGACTCGAGGATTAGGCGTCCTGATGCTACGTCTGGCCGCGGACAAACACCGGAACTTCACGGTGCAAAACGGGGTCATGGCCGCCACTTCAATCGAGGACTTGCTTCTCCTCCTGCGGCAAGGTCCTGGCGACGAATGTTCAGTCTTAGCTCGGGCCGGGAACGGAGCTGTCCTCTTCGTCTCCGTTGGTATTAAGGGCTTGCTTGGGTGGGGCGATGCCGACCTGGTGGGCACTCCGCTCATCGATGCGAAGAGCAGAGGAGGATGTGCGACAGGGTCCGGCTTCCAAGGTCGTGTTGGCAGGAACCAGAATGGGGTCATCCATGGAGAAGACGGGAGGGTTCTGCAGGCGGCCGTTCGTCAAAGCCAAGTTCACACTGCCAGTGTGCTTGAGCGCCTGGGCAATCCGCAGCTGCCAGTTCAAGAGCATGATTTGATGATGGTGCCCCTGGTTTTACGCCTGTATCGTCGGGACCGTACTTTAGTGCGCCGGCAGCTCACAGTGTTCGCCACGGAAGACTTCCTTCTCCTCCACGGCTCTCTGGCAGCTCCGACTCCTCCGGTGGATCGAGCTCAAGGACGGAGACGTGAAAACGTCCATCGGCCAACTAAGCAGTGTGGCTACCAGGAAGGATTTTACCTGTCGCAGCATGAAGGACAGCACACTGAAGACTATCAACCTTATCAGCAGCAGCAACAGCAGCAATACCACGAGGAGCACCAAGGCCAGCAAGAAAAACAAGAACCGCAAGGTCCTCAGCAATGGCGGCACCCGCATGACGTTGGACACGTTGAAACAAGGCAGGGCAAGGAGAGAAATGATTTTTCAGGCCACTTGTCGAAAAGCTCGCTGACATTGTCTCTTCGGAATCTAGCGCTTGCTCCATCACATCAATACCCTCGTGTCTACCGCAATACTTCTTTCACTTCGACCTTACCCCTTTGTCGAGCATCTGTGGAAAGGATGCAGGCATCTAGTTTATCGACCAATTATGTGCAGCCTGCCCATCTAAGCTACGAGCAGGTTGTTAATGAAGAGGGCGGGGGTCTTCCCTTACCTGAGTCGATTATCGGCTCCCGTGGACCGCAAGCGCATAGCATTACCACGTCCGAGCATGAGAGTAGTGTACCGATCGCTGAGGGTGGTCATGATGTGAATAGCTGCATTCTTCATGGCGCGGCTCTACTGGGCCGCCGCAGTGAGGTTGCCTCAACATTAGTCCTGGAGTCCAACATGGACGTGGAAGCACGGGTGGAGGGTGCCATCGAGCGGTTGGAAAAGTGGGGGTCTCAATTAAGTGAGGAGGGTTATAATGTCGCAACAAGCGCAGATGACACTATCGTGCCTCGTAAAGGAGAAAGCGGGCTGGCCGAGGCGGAGGTCATCGAGTGGGCGACGGATGAGGACGTGAGGCTGGCGCTCGGAGAGCATGCTCGTGAGCCCACGCCTCAAATGCAGCGTGATGCCTGGGGAGGAGCTTACGACCTCTGCTACTCTCCTCCATCCACCTTTGAGGAGACAATGCGCGCGTTTTTGCTCGGTCTGCCTGCCCAGTGCTTCCAAAGCGCTGATATCTGGGTGCCATTCCGGGACCCTCACACTAAGCGGCTTTCGCTTCAATTTGGCAGCGGGTTAGCTCTTCGAGGAGACTTATCACAGTGGATTTACTACTCTCGAAACTTTGCCTTTTTGGAAGGGCAAGGAATGCCGGGGCGAGTCTTTCGCTCGCAGGTGCCCGAGTACCTGGAGAATATCGCCTCCATCGACGCCAAACTTTTCCTACGTCGAGATGGGGCGCAAGTCGCTGGAGTCCACTCATCCTTCGGTGTCCCCCTCGTGCAGGATGACTCAGTGATTGTTTTGGTCTTCTACTCGAACCACGACTCGTCATCTCATATCACCCAGGAGCTGCTAGACTTCGTTCGTCGAGCCACAGCATCTTGGAAAATCCAGACCACGTTTCCCGTACCAAAGGCCTTGACGGCAGATCCCGACCATCAACCAGCTGTCGTGCGCTCAGCTTTATTAAGGTAGCGCGTGTATATAGCTTATCAGAGAGTTACATCAAGGAAAATGGAACACAATGCCTTTCACTACGGTCTTCAGGTCACAAGATATACTTTCTCATCAGCTCATTCCATGATTGTCAAGTAAGCCGGTAAGAATAGACCTTGCCTACTGTTGCACCGCTAGGTCTGACATAATTGTGAGACTCTGAACGAGAAGAAAAGATACTGACGCTGAAATGTGCATACGTCATACGATGGAGCTATTATAGTGGTTACAAAGGTGCACAGAAGGAATGTAAAAAATATTGATGCCGCTCTTTCCAAGCCGCCTGTTTTTTGTCAACAAGAGTGTACAATTGCTTGTATGTATGCGCACTTACGCAACGGCTTTGATTCTTAGGAAAAATATCTCACACTACTCTGTGCATTCCCATTATATTTTGCTGTACAATACGCCGTATAAACGGAGCCTTTTTTGTTCTGAGAACCATGCAATGGTGGGTCATACACTTCTTGTATAAATGAAGCACACTCGAACTTACAATTTTGTTTCTGTGCGACATATTTGGTTTATTTTTTCAATGTTGCCGAATGGCCTCATCGCCTACGACGCAACATACGGTCCAGGACACCAGCCCCTTAGGCCTCCCTCCGCGTACGACGAAAGTGTAACTCCCGCCAGCCCGCTGCACCACCTGCTCCATCAAGACAACACCTTCACTGCTGGTTCTATCGCCTCTCTTACGGTTGATCTCCCCGTCGCTAATTCCGCTCCCCCAAAGCACCTCTCGAGACACGTAAAGGTTTGGCATCGGTGAGCCTACTGGCGTTAGGTGATAGACATACAGGGGCGAAGAGAGGCCTTCACGAAAATGTCGAGGTAGACACACAACAGCCGAGCCGTCTGGTCCGAGCCGCACACTGCCTACATAGCTCAAGGTTGAAAGCCCCGCCTCTGCGGGGTCATTTTTCATGACACCGCACATGTCGTACGCTGGCTGGCG